TTAGAGAGGAGAGAAACAGAGGGTGGGGGGGGGGCGGGGGGGTAAGAGTGCTGAGCAGGGAGTGAGAAAGCTAGTTGCCAGGTCCAGGACTCAAATCATGTTCAGCCATGTGGGAGTCCAGTGCCCTCAACCATGATGCCACTTGCCGGCCCCCAAATATCTTACTTCTCTATTTTTCTCCCTAATTTCCTTCCCTTTACTCTTCACCTCTCCCACCCTTCTTCCACACTGTCTCTAGTGTCCATAACTATTTTCAATGCTTTTATGCCCTCAAATCTTTCAGTCTCTACCACAGAGTGCAGACAGTCAGTATATGTTAAGTGGAGATATACGATGCCTCTCTTTCATAGCCTGACTTGCTTCACTCAGCAATAAATCTTCCAAATTTGTCCACCTTCTATCAAATGCCGGGGTCTTGTTTTTCATGGCCAAATAGTATTACATGAAGTATATATGCCACACTTTCTCAATCCATTCATCTGTTCATTGACATTTGGGTTGGCTCCATTCTTAACAATCGTGAATAATGCCACAATAAACATAGATGTGCAAGCACTTTTTCAACTGAGCATTCACCTGTCCTTTGGGTAGATACCCAGGAGTAAAATTGCTGGATCATATAGTAGTTCTATCTGTATGTCTTTGAGGAACCTCCATATTGTTTTCCACAGTGGCTGGGCCAATTTACATTCCCCCCAACCGTATAGGAGAGCTCCCCTTTCACCACAACCCTGCCAACACATAACTTTTTGTATTTTTAATCTTTGCCATTCTGACAGAGGTTAGGTGGTATCTCATTGTGGTTTTAATCTGCATCTCCTTTATGATGAGGGATGTTAGGCATTTCTTCATATGCTTTTTGGCTGTTTGTATGTCTTCCTTAGAGAGATTTTTATTCGGCTCATTTTCCTATCTTTCAATTGGCTTAATTTTTTTTTTTTAGGTAAGTCTCTTGGGTTCCCCATGTATTGTGGTTATCAGTCCCTTATCTGAGGCCTTAGGGGTGACATCTGAACACAGATCTAAATGGTGGGGCAGCTGTGCAAAGGACCAGTAGGAGGCAGTATTCACAGAAGGACGAGCAGGTATTGGAGGACATAGAGGGTCAGCGTGGATAAACACAGTGAATGGCAGGAGAGGTGTTAAAGAGATGACATTGGGGAGGAAGGCAGTGGCACCTCATCTAAGGTTTGTAGGGTATGGTAATTCAAAATCAAGGGTCGAGATTCTAATCTACATGACGACCACAGAATGAGAACTTATTCTGAACATGCTTATTTTCATTTATCCCATGCCAACTATAGGAAATCGTGACCCAGTAAACTTACACTGATCATTTATTATATATTATGCACAAAAAGCACCATTAGAGAAGTTTCTAAAAGGGATATCTTGGAAATTTACTCAGGAATTTAAAGAATGTTTTATACACATTTTTTTGGTTGTTTGTTTTTGTTCTTAGTTTCTGTTATAGGGCATGTGAGCTTGATACACACAGTGAGAGACAGAGACAGAGAGAGAGAGAGAGAGAGAAAAATCACTTCCCAAGGGAGATGGCCAAAGCCTAATCCCTTATTCATTCTTCTCTCAGGATTTAGGGCATGCACACACATCCACCTGGAGTGATTTACAAGCCACTAAATCCAGGACTTGAATGACAGAGTTGGCCATGTAGGATCCAGTGCCTTTCACCTTTATGTCACCTGCTGGCCCCATACTATGATTTTTTTTTTTTTGGGGGGGGGGAGAGTTTTTTTTCTATAGGGCTTGTGTGCTCACCAGAAAGACAGAGAGAGACAGAAAGTGAGAAATCTCCTCCCTGGGGGATAGACACGCTGCAATCGCTTCTCCGTTCTCCTCTCAGGATCGGGGGCACACACGCACACATGCCCGGCGTGAGTTTTAAGCCACCGGGTCCAAGACATGAACCGTGGTCAACTACGTGGGAGTCCAGCAACATAGCCATTACACTAGCTGCTGGTTCCCGTGCCATAGAGCTTTTCTACTAAGGTCTTGTCATCCAGCTAATCCTGGGTTAACCTTGACAACCGTTTTCATACTTAGTTCTAAGCCAAATAAGATTCTTGATCTTATCTGGATAGATTTGTGTGCTATTGTGATGAAAAACCTATGAAAGGACTTTAAAAAGTTCACTGAAAATGGACTTAAAGTATGAGTTATTTTGGTGCAAAAATATTTTGAAATCCATGCATAGCTTGTTCATAATCTCCATTTCCCATTAACTATTTTTATTTTAGAGAGTTGTTTTGCTGTAGGGTGCGTACGCTCTCTGGAGAGACAGATAGAGCCAGAGATAAAGTGAGAAATCACCTCCCACCCAGGGGGGATGGTCATGCTGCAATCCCTTCTCCTCCATTATTCTCTCAGGATTTTGGGCACCCATGCAAATGACCCTGGTGTGAGTTTTAAGCCACCAAGTCCAGGAATCAAACTGTGGTCAACCATGTGGGAATCCAGCAACATAACCATTATATCATCTGCTGGTCTCCATTTTATTTTAAGGATTTATTTATTTATTCATTTATTCCATGAGTGAGAGAGACAGGGACACAAAATCCCTGGCAGGGGCCCAACGTATTGTCCACCTTGGCTTAAGCCAGCCTGGGTCACTGACATACTGCTGGTGCAGGTACCATGACCCAGTGGGTGGGCAGCAGTGGACCCACAGGGTGGAGAAGGTCACTGCACACTCAGGTCTCCTGATGCCAACTGGTTACCTTCTCAGGTGAGTCTGCCTCAAAGAGTCATGCACTTTACTGATGAATTACCATCTAGCCCCTTCTATGAACTTTTTGGAGACCCCTCATGCACAGCAGTTTTTCAGCCTCTAACATCATCAGGTATGTCTATGTGCTAAGTTATGATAAACATCTAACACACATAAAGTGGTCCTCAAGGGATGTTTGTATAACTGCAATTACCCTTCATTTTGGGAAGGAAACCCAAGATTTACCATGCCTATTGTACTAGACATAGAGTTAGCACTTTAGCAATTATTTATTTTTATTTTTCATTATTAAAAAAAAAGCTACAGGGCATGCATGCTCACCAGAGAGAGAGAGAAGTGAGAAAGCAAGGTGCTTCTAACCATGTGGGAGTCTAGCACCCTAACCACCACCTGCTGGCCCCTAGAGCTCTCTAACTGCACTCAGCCACATGGGAGTCCAGCTGCCAACCACCATGCCACCTGCTGGCCCCTAGAGTTCTCGATGCTCACAACAGTTACAGGTTAAGTTATCCCCATTTTATTGAAGTGCAGATAAGTTGGGCAACTAGCAAAGCCAAAGCTCATGCTCTTCATAAAGTAATCTTTAAAGCCTCCTGGCTGAGGAAGGTTGATTAATTAGCAGCATTAATTTATTCAGCATGCACTTTTAAAATTCTGGAAAAGCCTATTTGACAAGAAAGGTATTGTTTGAGTAACCTGCACACTGCATAGCAATGTGGAGGGTGGATAAAGGTCAGTTCAGATGTTGCTGGTCCATATAATGAGGGTGTGCAGAAACAGATTAGTCTTCATAGACTCTCCAGTCCAGCCTAGGCTTAGACAAAATTTCTGTGACCCGCACTTCTTATTTCTACTTTCCTGATAGGTAGCCCATCCAAAGCCATAGCGGTTGTTAACTGCTTGTCCACAAATGCTTTCAAGAAAGGAGCTTTGAGTCTCTGTGTAAGTTCTGAGCTGCCTACTGGGCCGCCACCCCCAACACAGGTCCTTCAGAATATTCTGCCTGTCAGCAGGCTTGAACGGGAACTTAGAAGCAGGCAGTGAAATTTAGGAGGAAAAACCTCTCACATAATCATGTCATTCCAACTCACACAAGCATTCATTTAGTTGTTTACTGTGTTCTCCAAGTCCCAGAATTGTTCCATCAGTAGTGGTTTTGGATGGAAGTCTTCCCTCGAGTTTCCCCATCAACATATTTTTGACATGTTTGTATCAAAAGCTCTTTAAAAACACACACATTTACTAGAGTGGTCTATTTTTCTCGGGAATCCTTTAGGAAATGAATAATCATGTGTAATTTTTCAGATGTCATTTCACGCACAACAGACTAGACAAAGATTTTTTAAATCCCACGACTTAAATGGAATCCAAGCTTTGCCTAGAAGCTGTTCATGTCCCTCTTGGTTCTAGAGGTTGGCTATTTGACTGAACTGCTTTTCCTGTTTCAACAACTTGAGCACCAACCAAGTGGACAAACAACGCCGCTTGCAAAACAGGGCCTGCGTCCTCCAGCCCATGCACCCTCCGTGACCCGCCACCCCTGTTGCGCACCAGTTGAGGAAATCTCAGCGTCTAACTTCTTGGTTTCTCTTTTCGGCCCCCAAACTATGCCCGTCGTGGGACTTTTAAGTCCCTATGCGCGTCGTCAATCAGCCCCGTTTGAGGTCTCCTCGCAGAATGAGGTCTACGAAGAAGCAGGCTCGGAGGAAGAGAGAGCACCCTGCGAAACCTCGGACACCTCCCCTCCCGTCCCTACGAGCGCTCTCTAGGACCCACCGGTCGAGAGAGGCGGCTGCGGGATGACTGGACACTAGGGCCCACGGGGGTGCACGGGGTTGGAGCGCAGGAAACAGCGAGGTGCGCTGGGGTGGGGGTGGGGGGACTCCAGGCCGCCGCCGGGAGCAGGGCGGGTGAATCTGCGTTGGGCAGGGGCGAGAACCGTGGCTCGCGCGGTTCCGGCTCCTAAGCTCAGGAGCGGGCGCAGCAACCCGCAGCTTACCCGCGACGGTGGCAGCAGCGAGGCCCAGCAGCGGCAGCAGGAGCGCGGGCGGGGCCGGCCAGGGCAGGC